ATCAGTATCCGGCGGCCCCCCCCATCTCTGCGCCGGGAGTGTCGGATGATCTGACACTCCCGGCGCAGAGACCGGGGGCCCGCTGGATGCCGATCCGGTGCTATCCGGCGGCCGGCAAGTCCCACCATCTATGCACAGGGACTTTGCTGGGCCCCCCCCAGACTGAGGGTCACGGTGCGGCAGCACAGGCGGTAGTTCCGCCACTGATTGGTATGGGACATCATGAGTTGTATACATCATGTAGTCTTCATATAAAGAACAGAGCTGTATTCTTAAGGTGCTTTCTCGGCATGGGGAATGTACCACATGTTAAAAAAATGCAAATGCTTAAAAATGAATAAAACTAAAAAAAGTGTATATGAAGAAACAAAGAACACCTACTAACAATTAAATATAACAACAAAGCATATGTATAGCATATTTTAGCCATGAAAGCACAGTCTAATTGCTGTTTGTATTCCACACTGTAATAAACAGTGCAAAATAATATTTTCTCTTGACAAATGAATTCCTACCAAAAGTAAATGCCATAAAATATCCCAAAACATAAGTTAAATGCAGAAATTGAATTTTTGAGCAACGCAATGTCATAAATGACATTAAGATAAGAAACCTTGAGAAGAATATGAAGTAAGTGAATCCAGTTCCACATTAAATAAGACATTGAATAATGAAAGTTTTATGTTGGGTGGAGGAGATAACATTGCTAAGTTTTATTTCATAATACAAGTAATGCAATTGTTGTTACTCACACCAGCTTTTGCCATTTCTTCCTAATACTTCCTTTTTCTCTGGGTTCCATATAAAATGTTTCAAGTCTTGTATCAATTCTGCACAGGTTTTTTTCTGCTCCATTTGCTTCTGCCCGTCAGACTGTGCTTGTCTTCCATCCTGATTGTCCTGAAACCGGAGAAAGAGGTCCCTCCCTTCATAATGATGTTTATTATCATGGGAATTCTAGAACAACATCCTGTTGCAAGTGTAAGTCAATGAAGGCACACAGAATACATTACCATAACATTTGGTAATTGTTACTTCAAAAAACGGCCAATCAAAATTATGTCAATACATTTAAAGTACAACCAAAGGCTCCTTTATGACATTCTAAATAAGTCCCAGATCCAGTTACTATGTGACTATGTGATGATCAAGTCTGAAGGGGACATCTAATCTAAGGGGATACTCTGTTTAAGGGAGACCAGGGAGACCTAATGTAAGGGGGCACTCTCTTGGGGGGAACTAATGTAAGGGGGCACACTGATAGGGACACCTAATGTAAGGAGGCACTCTCATGGTGACACCTAATGTAGGGGGGCACTCTCATGGTGACACCTAATGTAGGGGGGCACTCTGATGGGGACACCTAATGTAAGGGGGCACTCTCATGGGGACACCTAATGTAAGGGGGCACTCTGATGGGGACACCTAATGTAAGGGGGCACTCTCATGGGGACACCTAATGTAGAGTGGCACTCTGATAGGGACACCTAATGTAAGGTGGCACTTTCATGGTGACACCTAATGTAGAGTGGCACTCTCATGGTGACACCTAATGTAGGGGGGCACTCTGATGGGGACACCTAATGTAAGGGGGCACTCTCATGGGGACACCTAATGTAGAGTGGCACTCTGATAGGGACACCTAATGTAATGTGGCACTCTCATGAGGATACTTATTGTAAGTTATTGCAAGGGAACATTCTGAAAGGACACCTAATCTAAGGGGGCTCTCTGATGGAGAAAATTGATGTAAGGGTCATGCTGATGAATGCTGTACATTTTTCATTGAAGCCAGCCACGCAGTACCACTACCACATAACACTGCACTTTGCCATTGGAACTTAATGAAATGTCACTTGTGACATTTCAATAAAGTTCTAACAAAAATAAAAAAAAAGTGTGATGCAACGGGATCGGTGCATCAGCACTGTGTCTGGGAAAACACACCAGCATCTGTGCATTGTAGTGCAGCTAGAGTGAATGCAGCCTAAATGGCAGACCATGGTGTAGACATGACCATTCTGTCGGGACCTCGATTCTGCTGGAAGAAATTATGGTCACCAGACCTCCTTGAATTTTATTTCACTACCTCTACCCCTGCTGTAGAGTGTCACGTGAGTGAAAGCTCTGAGTCTGCTGGGGCTGCTGACATCACATCTAACATGGTTGAGCTCAGTAGAGGTCTCAGGGCTTTTAGATGTCTACACAAAGGAGGCTTTTACATGTAAATAACATTCCTAAAATATGGCAACAGGGTCTCTTTAAGTGAATCTCTGTAGTGGATTGAAGAGAAACCCCCTCCACAGTGTTAGTGGAAATACAGTTGACACTTATGCAGTGCGTAGAGCCTGGACAAAATCAACTGATTTTTGGAGCCGTTCCTTGTAGACGTAGCAAGAGCAGGGCCAGTTATCTTAAGATGTTTATTATCTTTATGTTGGATTGGAACTCAGAACCATGAGGTCTATACCTGCATCATACCACCAGCCCGGACCCCATCACAGGCCCTCTTCTTTTTCATATTTTCTTAAAGAATTTATCATTTGAAAAAAAAAAAAAGCCAAAAGATCATGAAACAAAACAACACTGGATTGCAGAATGTTACATCTGAGTAGTCGATAAACAAGGGTCAGATCCAATATCACACATGTAATGACTTGTGTAGAACAGGTGTTAAGAGTGTCAGTCACTGACCTCAGGGTCCTTGAGTTCCAGACCTATGCTGGTTTGAATCCTGTTCTCTCTGGTTACAAAGCAAGAGTAGCTCTTCACAGAGGACCTGATGATGCTGTATGCTGCATAGTCCATCAGTTACTAATATATTTTTTTTGTTTAATCCTGCAACTAACCTGACAGTAGTGCACTTCTGAGAATATGTGACTAAAGTTACCATAGAGATAACATTTTGACTAATCCGTTTCCCACATACTATACATATTATAAGTGCTTGCCTCTCAAACTGTAGGTTTATGGAATTAAAACATAAGCTTCTGCTATTCTTTTTTCAAATGTTTATGATAAATTAAATTTGAGACCATGCCTAGATTTCATGTCGGTGAATGTGGCTTGTGACCTTGGTCATCAGACCATAGGTTCTCTTAGGCATTCAGTTCATAGGTGAAGTAGAAACTATCACTTGATGAAAAAAAGGACTGTTAGTAGGACAAGGCATTATTGTGGCAGCCATTTAAAGAGTGGTGGTAGATGAACAACTGTTTTTAAGGTCACTGTGCAGCTTTCTCACTTAGCAAAAGGTGGAAAGGTCAATCATTTATGCAAGGCAACAGAGGGGCTCATGGTTATGTTCCAGTGACACCAGCAGGGTTATTCACAAAAGTGTGAAGAGTTTGGAGAAGGCAGGAGAAGTGAACAATCTAGGCCGAAATAGCCAAACTGGAAAGTGAGCTGAATTGGAGAATTTTTCCAAATCAGCTTTTTTCAACAAAGTCAGTTGTGTGATAACAGATGGCTGGGATAGTGGCCAGTGCAACTTATGGATGGAGCATATTTTTATTAAAAAGGCGAGGTATACTGGCAATTCTCCAACTTGCCAATCAAACAGTGATGTTTTTTGTGAAAGTCAGCGTAGAAGAGGCTCAGCATGGCAAGCAATTGAGAGGGGTGTCCTTCCCATGAAAACAGAGATGGGGATACAAAACTCTTCTACAAGTGCTTTCAAAGTGATGCTCCTGTCCTTGAGAAAGAGGTTGTTGGAAAATTAAAGTACACCTGTCATAGAGAAATATGAGGACTGCCATTGTTGAACTAAAACATGCATGTGCCAAATCAGTGTCAGAGAAAGTACAAAACCCTTATATTTTTTTCAGTTTAATGGTATGTGGTTGACAAAATGCTCAAAATATACAGTGTAGTGTGTTCCATGTGCATAGCATGTCCTTGGCAAATGGTCCCTAACTCTCCATAGCACAGCTCTTCATATGCTGAGCTTGTCCTTGGCTGAGTGTTCTATATGTTTAGCATGTCCCAGGTACAGGTTCCTTTGTAGTCAGAATTTCAGTGGCAGAGCAATATATGTATACAGCATACTCTGGGTGGAATATGTGCTTAAATATTTTTCTATTTTTTTTACTATAGTGGAATTAAATAATGTTTCAGGCGCGTGACAGTCAGCCCATTTACAACCCTGTAGCTTGTCAATTAGAAGCTGGCCATACCTAGTCCTGCCCACTTCTTTCTGGATTACTAGCACAGTCTTTGTTGCTGAAACATCCACTGGTTATATGTAGCTATGGACAGATAGGCGGCCCTGGATGCAAAATGTCTGTGTCTGTCCCTAGCCACACGTAACCGCTTTGCATGCAATTACATGCGAACTACCATGGCTCCTGTCACCCTGTATTAATTTGTACAGGCATCCTGGTCACGGCTGATTGCAAAGATCTGGGATTCCTCTCCTTTGTGGCCGTGCAAAGATCTGGGATTCCTCTCCTTTGTGGCCGTGTTAATAAGGCCTAAAGCCCAGCTCCAGACAAACCTTTTTTTTTCACTTTTGAACAGAGTGGGGAAGGGATAAAAGCCCTGTGAGGTTTTATTGTGGTCTTTGTCCCATGGGGAGATTTGCCCTCACTTCCTGCAGGGAAAGGAAGTAATAGGAAAGAAAGTTAGGGAGCATGGTTTAATAAGTATTCGCTATCTGCAGACACTGATTTGCATGTAGTGACAGTGTCTCTTTCAAATCTTTAAATCTTGTTTGTCTGTATAGTTTGTAATTATATATTTAAATAGGGACAACTATATATGCATATTACATACACAGGCTTTGCTTCCAGCTTTGCTCCTTTTTTCTCCTCACAATGCAAGTCCATAAGTCAGACAACTCTTTAAAAACAATGCACTCCATGTTTTTCAGCACAATGCTAACTGTATTGTTAAAAAACCCTAAACCAAACTGGAAAGATTTATAAAGCATATACTAACTTAAATGTGTTGAATGATTTCTTGAAAACAATGCACATCTAGTTTGGCTGATATTTTATCTAAACAGTTGTGCCAAATCTACAGTCTTTATACATGATGCAATAACAAAATGATGGAAAAACAAGTATATAAAAATATAAATGCCACATCAGATAGTACACACAGAAATAATAATTAAAATATGTTTTGATTGCAAATATGTTATCATTGGCAGTAGATTATATAACAATTAGGGATGCACAGATACCAGTTCAAATACCAGTGCTGATACTTGGCATTTTCACGAGAACTAACAGGGCTGCAGCGGTTGCAGCTGGTACCTAGCTCTGGCACTCCACTGTCCTGAAATCATTAGTCTGTATTGTTTTTAAAAAACTGTCACATGACAATAACCAAAAAGGTATCAGTAATCGGTATCTGTGAGGGCAAGTATTGGTACTGTAATTATATATATATATATATTGTATATATAACAAATCATACATTAAAACAGGGATGCACAAATCTCAGGAGCCCCATAGCCAATGTGTAAGAAAAGCCCAGCACATACTGCCAAACATGCAATAGTGCGCAGGCTCGCACGGAAGTGTGCACTACAGAACATACGTGGAAACACACACGCATGAAAGAAGACGTGCACGGACCAATAGGGTGGCGCACAGGAAGTTGCATAGGACATGTACTAATGGGCTGGCCTATATAAACAAGCATGTAATGTGCACAGGTTGCTGGAAGTTCTTCAGCTTGTTCCTCTGTGATCTGATCAGTCTGCTTGATTCCTGCACCTGACTCGGCTTGTTTCCTGATCCACTCCTTTCGCATGCTGCCTGCCACTGAGACCTCGGCCTGTTTACTGGATTGCTCTCTGCCTTCTGCCTGGTACCTTGCTGATCTGCTGCTAACGACCTCGGCAGTGGCGTAACAACCAGGAGGGCGCTTGCCCCGGGCGCAGGACTGAGGGGGGGCGCCGTCACGACCCTCCGGGCGCTCATCTGCCCCGGGCGCCCATTACTCTGGTTACGCCACTGGACCTCGGCCTGTGCCCCCGACTCCTCTCCTGGTTCTTGATTCTGTACTTCGTTGCCCGGCTGGCTTTGATCTCAGGACTATATCCTCGACCTGCTTCCGTCTCCTGTTCCAGTCTGATCCCCTGGGTCCCTGAACTTACGCAGTGCAGCCTGCTCCATCTGCACTTGTGCTACTCTGTGTCCACACACTCCCTGTCCCCACTTCCAAAGGGGGTTGGACAAGAGGCGCAAGGGCAGCCCCCTCATCCATTTGGTCTCCACTCAGGTACGTGACACAATGTTCCTGAAAAATGACAGCTGCCTCCTAAATTTTGAGTTTTTCTCTAGTCTAGTCTTGGAGCTGATAAAGTGTCTGTACTTGTACTCAGTGGCATCCAGAGGCTGGGTGTCACCCGGGGGGCGGAGACCGGGTGACACGCCGGCGTGACGTCATCACGCATGCGCAGTGGTCTTTTTTACGCCTGCCGGCGGCAATCTTGGTTATGGACGAAAGCAGAGAGAGGAGTGGACGTTCACCCGGCGGGAAAAGGTTTGCCCCCGGGTCCCCTCTCTCTCCTGACACTGTCAGGCTCTCGGCCCGTGACCGAGTGCCCGACATTTCATAAGGGGTGACACCAAAATGACTGTCAGTCATTTTGGTGTCACCCCACCAATGGTGGCAACCCCCATTGTGATGCCACTGCTTGTACTTGTTCTTGTACTTGGAACAAGTATGGTACTTGGTATCTGTACATACCTAATAATAATGCATAACAATGTGCTATTAGTAGGTGCAAAGTACAACAATCCATAGCAACTGGTCACTTTTTCTTACTCTACAATAAACTGAAATGTTATTTAATTGACTGAACATAAAGGGTTATCACCATGGCACCTTTCATTCACAGTGTATTGAAGCTGAAAGTATCATAATCATGTCAGCACTATTCTCTACATCAGCAGAAGACCACCCTGTGCCCGAGAAGCAGTAAAGAGGAAGAAGACCCAGTACGTCATGTGACTTGCCTAAAGAAATCTAAAAAAGGAAAGTTTAAAAAAATTAAGCAAAACATATAGCACTTTGGGGGGGAAAAGCCTCCAGGGGGGGCTTTTAGCCTGTGGCATGCCTTCCATTTCTTCCTATTGGTCTAACAGTGAGGAGCGGGAGACAAGATTGCTGGGCCAAACTGCAGACTTCCTTGATAAAATTAGTATTTGCATCACAGAGCACCCATAAAACCATTCCTGTATGTGCAGGTGCCTCTAGGTTTCTGCTTTTTAAAAGTAATACCAATTTACCCAGTTGTAGCAAGTTTCAGGTTTACGTTTATGTTACAACTTATACAATGTATTCATATGAATGCTACCAAGCTAAACGGTTTTGTATACCCACAGCGCTACCAGCTGCCTTCAGGACCTGAAAGATTGCTAATGACGCTCCAGCATCCAGCACAGTAAAAAAAAACACTCATAGTCGAGTCTTTGCACTGTGCCAAGTTAGAAATGAAAGCAAACAATGTTCTAGGAGTGAATCCAAGACAGCAAATATATCCAGCCATTGCTGGCTGTGATACTG